GGAGATAACAAGTACCCAATGGAATAGTCGAGGTGCACACAAGTGTCCTGGACACCACCATCATAAAAAAGAAAGATATTAGAAGAGGAAAATGGCATTGGAAGATGATATTCAAGACAAGAGCTAAGTTGCTTGGTTTGGATGGATAGACAGTAGAGGGTCATTGTTGACCCAAGATATAGCATACAGAAAAGAGGATTGTTGATTTGCAACAGAAGCTACATGTATGAGCAGCCTCCAGAAAGTACCAGCCATCTTTTACTACATTGCAGAAAAGGATGGCAGATTTGGAATCTATTCCTCAACCTTTTTTAGTGTGCAGCGGGTGATGCCATGTACTTTATAAGAGAAACTACTCAGCTGGGAATATGGACACTCAGACTCCTGCGGAATATGGACAGTTTGGCTGGAGAGAAATTACATCACATATATTTTCAGGGCAAATCAACTGTAATTTTTTGTTTAAATCAAGGTGCTGTCAATTTTTGATGTAAACAGAAGACTGAAGTATGTACATGATTTAGGATCGACGTTAGAAACATTGGACTCCCGGCTGGATGACAGCAGCTAAATCATTGTACCTCTACATAAATTTTTAGCATCTCACTGGTAATATAATCAATAAATTATCTTACTTATCACCAAAATCCTTTAGCATTCAAAAGCAAGAATATAATGAAAAATAAGAGAGGAAGATAACTTTGTAGACAGAGAAAAGTATTTTTGTTAAACTGAGTGATCAAAAGTTCTTTACATGGTGTAAATACATTCTTATTGCTGTATATCTAACAACAGGTTTAAAAACCTTACCAACAAAAACTTGAAATCAACAATCAAAACTACAGCTAGAATTATCAAAATAGCTAATTTTTCATCACCAATTATCCCTGCAGGAGCATTTACCATTTACAAAATGATGAAAACCTGAAGCATCTCTTACATGTATATCTCTCTTGGTGACAACTGAAACATATTTGAAGAATGTATGGCAGTCACCACAGAGATGCACATTCTTCATAACACGAACGGGTTTTCCAGGTCTCGTCATAAGAAGCCCAAAGGTTACAGCTAGTTTTGAACTGTGGTAGAACAAGAAGTCTTTCTTTTGATGCTCCTCTACTTCGTGAAGTACAAAACTTGTATCAGGTACATATCCAGCTTTCAGACACTCCGGAATGAGTATTTGTAAGCCACTGTATATGTCTTTTGACTGTGAATGCAATTTGTCTCTACCAAAAAAGGAGTGAACCTTATCACCAAGTATGATCCAACTCCGTCCTGGTATTTTTCGGAAACCCTTTTCCCTCATCTCTGCCCTAACAAGTTCTGAACACTGCCATCTTCCGGATGCTGAGTAAAGATTTGACTTCAGTATGAACGTCGAAGGATCCCGTGGCACAATAGAAAGGATTTCCTTCATCGCCCTTTTACCAATGATAGCATTCGCATGTATCCTGCAACCATCAAGCAAAGCATGCCAAACAGAAGCCTTGGGCTCAAATCGCATTGCACTAATAATCTGCTCTGCTTCTTCAAGCAGACCCCAATAACCTAACACAGCTACAAAGCCTGCATAATGCTCCGAGGTGGGTTCTATGTTATATAACGTTTGCATTGAGGAAAAGAACTTTTGGCAACAATCAACTAAATTTCTGGAAGTATGTCTATAAGCTGATATCACAAGGACACAGGTAATAGAATCTGGGTTTACTCCTAACTTCTCCATCTTCGCCCACATATCCAATGCCGCATCGCCCTGCCTATGAAGGACATAGCAAGTCAACAAACCATTCCATGATACTAAATCATGTGTAGGCATAGCCTCAAAGGCCTTAATTGCACTTTGCATTTCATCACACTTAGAGTACATGCTGATCATGGCATTCCCAACACCGGTATCAGAGATTATACCATGTTTCACAGCATAGGAATGGATTTGTTCGCCTAACTTTAGAATCCCTAATGTTCCACAAACACCAAGAATAGTGGCTAATGCAACTTCATCAACAACCAGTGGTTCTTCTGAATGTCTGACCAAGAACAGAGAAATAGCTTCTTCTGGATGTCCATTTCTAGCATACGCACACATCATTGATGTCAATGCAATTGAATTATCATGGTCAAGTGGAGGCTGATGAAATAACTTTTTGGCATCATCCATTCTCCCACACCGCGTGCACATATCAAGCAATGCCGTCTCAATACGATCATTTGATTCTAAACCAAGCTTGAGGATGAATGCATGAATCTGTTCGCTTATCTTCCTTTCCATCACCGACCCACAAGCATTAAGAACACTGGTCAACGTAAAATCAGTCAATTCCAATCCTCCCTCCAACATTCTACAAAATAACCCCAGTGCCTTAAACCCTTCATGATTTTGAATAAATCCAGCCAAAAGAGCATTATAAGAAACACAGTTCCTCTCAGGCATGCTGTTAAAAATCTCCATCGCAAAATCAACATAACCAAATTCCATATACGCCACAATCATTTCAGTCCAACTAAAGACATCCTTCACAGGCATCCTCTCAAACACATCCACTACATTTTTCAAGGTTCCACATTTGGTATAAAAACCTATAAGTGCATTATTCACACTCAAATTACCATGTAATCCACTTTTAAGAGCATGCATATGTAGTTCTTGGCCTTCTCTGACCGCCAAACAGCGGGAAGATGCAGCCAAAAGCGTTGAAAGAGTAAAATGGTCAACTATTAAGCAATCATTTCTCCTCAATTCACGGTACAGTTCGAATACTCTTTCATACATGCACTCTTCAACCATACACGAAATCATAGTGTTCCACGAAACAATGTCCCGTTGTGGCATATCATTAAACAAAAGAATCACAGATTCCAGTAAACCACACTTACTATACAATCCCATAAGTGCATTAACAACATAAGTATAACTCAAATACCCTAATTTGACAACAAGACCATGTACTTGACAACCTAACTCAAGATTCAACGAACGAATACAAGCAGTCAAAATAGCAACAAATGTATATTCATTTGGTTCAATACCTAAGTCCCTCATTTCAAGAAACAGCTCAAAGGCTTCTCTTTGACGATTCGACTTAGCAAAAGCCGATATAATTGCTGTAAACGACACAACATCAGGGCTCAAAAGCGAATCGAATACTTTCTCAGCAAGATTCAAGTGACCAAGCTTGAGATAAGCCGCAATTAAAGCATTTTTCAAATAAACATCCTCTTCTTCAAGTTTGAGAATTGAAGAGTGAATAATCTTTGCGAGTTCAACATCACCACACCTAACAGAAATACGAAGCAAATTGGCATAATCTATCCTATTAGTGTCAGCAGCTACTGTGACATTAGAGTCCTTAAAATGCTGAGGGATCAAAAGGGGTTGAAAAGGACGAGATTTTGAAGGGTATTGAAGGAAAAAGGAAGGTTTTTGCTTATATTTGGTTTTCTTGGTAGTTGCTAGGCTTGAAGTGGAATGAAGGTTAAAGGGTCCAGTAGGACGGAGAAAGGAGAGAGGAATAGAGATGGTGGGGCTGTGGATAACGGCAGCCATGAAAGAAGAAAGGCGCCAAGCATAGTCAAGGAGCTGGAATCGCTAAGCTAAGTTTGGTGTGAAGTGTATTTCCACTGTGTTTTTTTGGGGGGTTTATGGCTATCCAAGAATTGGGATCCATGTTTTTTTCAGAAGGGTTTATCTTTGTTTTCTCAGTATCTTCAAAAGTGAGAAGCTTAACTGTCGGATAAAGTTTTGTAAAGGATCTTGAAAGTTNGTTTATGGCTATCCAAGAATTGGGTATCCATATTTTTTCAGAAGGGTTTATCTTTGTTTTCTCAGTATCTTCGTAAGTGAGAAGCTTAACTATCGGATAAAGTTTTGTAAAGGGGTTTTGTAAGTGGTGGGAATTCCACTTTACCCCTAATGGTTTTGGGTGTTGAGACTTATTCCCCCTAGAAGTTACTATATCCTTCAAAATAACAGTATACAATTTATATAAAAGAAAACGGTCTTATAAATATCTCATAAGTAATATATGGTATCGATAATTTACATATTAACATAAAGATTTCTTTAAAATGAATTATATAAAAAAAATTGCAACGGATCATATCCACGACACATTTTGAACTGTTTATCTTAAGTCTTAACTTACATGGGTATAAGAAAAAATATTTGTTAGAATGTACTCCGCGCCTAATTGATGTTTAACTCGGGGCATTTTCCATTATTTTCTTTAGATATTGAAGGAAGATGAGCTCAATTAGACCAATTTACAATTTGTGCAGGTAAATGTACAATTTCCAATTATCTATTGGTAGCTCAAACTACCGTCTAAGGCGGAACCATCATTTTGTTTATGTGCTATAATATTCTAAACGAGATCAGAGACACTTATAAATTACTGAATAGAAAATAATTTACGAATTTTCCTGTAGCCATTATGATCTGAAGTAACGAGCTCAGAGACCCTTGTAAATAACCTCGAATAGAAAATAATTTACGAATTTTCCTGTAGCCATTATGAGTTGATGTCCACTAACACAAAAGAAAAACTAGAACTAGAATTTCTTGCTCCGCCTCTTTTAGCACAAAGTAAGTTAGAAACACAAAGGATAATGGGTTCATTCTTGTTATTTGTTTATAGCTTCTTGCATACCTACAGTAAGGAGACAGGACCATTTTGGTTCGGAAGTTTTGGACTTGAAGTGGAAGGCAGAACATGATATTACTGGTTGGTTCAGCTCCTCATGACCATTTCAAAAGGACTCAGTAACACGTAGAGAAAAATTGGAGCTACACTTCATTTAACCCATCTGTAAATTCAAACATCTGTTTGCAGTTTCTCCTAAAAGAATTACATTAGTGCAAACTGTTTTCAACTTCGTCGTTGCAGGATAAAACCAACATCACCAAAAGTTTAATGCCCAGACCTATAAACATAGGAGTTTCCCTTTTCAACAACAAAGAACATGGAAAATTGTACAGAATGTCCAGGATTTGGGTAAAGTAGACATGCAACTGGACTGCGGTCAGATAGTAAAATTTTCCACTAACTGCAAAAGTCAAACATCCCATCACAAAGAATTAACTCTGGAAATACTAATATACATGTAACTGGGGAGCTTCTCGCCACCACAACAAATGGAGCAGTCAAAAACTAGAAAGATCCTTCTATATTTGGAAAATGGAAAGGAAAACAATGTTTCAGCTCTGGACATGCTATAAACCCTTCCCTGGAAGGTGCATAATCACAAAATGCTTCAAAGTGTTGCCATGGCCAAGCCCCACTTTTGTTATCTCCAGAATAGGCCATAGAAACACTCGTCTGAAGCCCGATCTGCTGCTACAGAAAATGCTGTTGCTTCTCATCTTTTCCTTGTCAAATGCTTTTTGGCTTCCCTAGCATCACCTGCAGTATGCTTCTTCCGCCTTCCACCAGCTGAAGCAGGCTCTACTAAAGGCCCCGACCAATTCTGTACAGGTTCTTTTGAATATGTGAATGAGGTCGAACTGAATGGCACATCAGGAGGGACAAGGCCAGGATCAATGTGATGTGAAGCACCCAATGGAACACCAAGTCCTCCATCCTGGTGTGGTGGGGGAAACTTCTCACTCTTGCTCTTTGCATTTGCATGTGTGATTAGGCGCCGCCGCTGCAATGTAAACAGATTGCCAAAATACCAGTTGAAGAAAATCAATGGAACAAAAAATAGAAGTTATGCAGTAGTCATGTACATGCAAAATATAAGTTATATGGTGGACTATAAACCACTGAAACCTGGCAAATAGAAGGCATGTATACCAAATAAATAAAAAAGGCTAATGACGTCAAAAAAGTGCCAAGCCTGAAACTTGCCGAAGTAGAACGAACAAAAGGAACAATCACTTCAAACAAGTTGCCCAAGAAGCATAACAGAAAAAACTGATGGCTACTGTCAATTCCACTATAGACTGGCAAATCATATTTCCAGAACAACTACTTTTCAAATCTGCTTAATTGACAGTTAATATGAAAACTTGGTTCAATCTTTTCAAATTTTCTCGGTGATGAAAGGAACAAAACAAATGATAATGAAGTAATGAACATGGTAAATAAAAAAACAAATTTATAACTGAACCACAACAAAGCAGGAGACTTGTCATAGAGACATACATCAATATTAGCTTGAAGTTCAGCATTGGCATCTGGAGCAGGGCCAGCACGGGCCCGTTCACGATGGCGTACTCTCTTAGTACCATCTCCCTGAGCTTTGTTAGCAGCTCTTAGCCTGCACAACAAGATGAAATGAGCAGCTATACCACATTTGTCACCTCTTCACAAGCATTGAACAGAACCCAAAGGAATGGATATTACATATAGTTATTTCCAATCAGGAAGAGAGGATGAAATTAAAAATATCAATTGCATCCATACATTATTGAAGTTAACTGTTAAACACAATGGGAGAAGAATGAGATCTTGAAAGATCAATTGCATCCGAGCATAGTACAATTAACAAGAAAAACAGCATTGACAAATTGACAAGCCAACTATTAAGTCCAGGTCCAGTACTCCACAAAATAATTATAAAAAGGTATAAAAGGTCAAGAGCAATTCTAGTTCATGGTCAAAATAATGGCTTGAAAACATGTTAAATAAACTATAGCAGTAAACTATAGCAGTAAGTACGATTGAACAACCAAATAATGTTAATAATCTCATNATTCATGGTCAAAATAATGGCTTGATTAACAGAATGCTACTTTTTGTGATGAAGTGTTGAATTAAAGGTTTTAAGCTATAGGGCATGCCTAGTTGATTAAGATAATCTAGAGGGCTACTTAATGTAATTGAGCATAATACTCCCTCCGCTTCAATTTATGACGTATGTGTCTTACTTTCTTTTGGTTTGTCCCAAAAAGAATGCCTCTTTCTCTATCTAGTAAATTTGCAATTCCAACATCCCCATTTTACCCTTAATGACACTCTCTTATAGATATGATATGACATATATAAGATCACAAGATTCAAAAGGTATTTTTGGTATGTTATACCCACCTTTAGTTCAAAACCAAAAGAATCAATTCTTCTTTACATTCTTAAACTTCTTGACCAGTCAAACTAAGAGACACAAAATGAAGAGGAGTGAGTATATGTAAGGTTGAATCCTGGCAGAAAGAAATTCTCCAAGTGGTTTGTGCTGTAGGAGATCTACAAGCATGGAGAGCTCCTTGAAGTTTCCCCAGATACATGATGTTGAGCTAGAGGAGAGGTATTCTGTGATGTTTTAAACTAGATGGTAGGTCCTGCTTAATTAGACAAACTAGAAAAAGGGCCAATGTAATTGAACCTAATATGTGTAAGCTTGAAAACTGGCAGAAGGAAATTCTCCATCTGATTGTACCCAGAGCCCATAGGAGATATAGAAGGACAAGAGCTCCTTCAAGTTTCTCAAATACATGTCCTAACAGATGGCTGGCATAAGTGCTCTCACTCATTAACTAGTTCAAGCACTTTTAGTTTGCTTAAACCGGAAAGGGGACTATGAAAAACTATGAAAGCAGGCCCACACGCATTATGTAACATTCTACCAACATTAAAGAGCTTGAAGTAAAAGTGAGGAAGGCAAACAGATGCCTGATTCACACTACACAAATAAAAAAGTGCTGACCGTCTAGCTTCATCATCCCGCCGTTTGGCATCCATTTCTTTGGTCGGAGGATACTTTGGAAGACTAGATGGATCACAAGCATATGGCTCTGTATTGAAGAACTGCAGAAATAGAATGTCATTAACCATATAGAAGGCAACATCAGGAAAATACAAGTGAGAAAACGTTACCCAAAATAAGATGTTCAGGGAACAAAGCAGAATATCACAAAAACACACATGCTAAACCAAAACACCTGGAAATAGAATTTGAGGCAGTGCTGCACCAAAAAGGGATAATAGGAGGACAAGTAGTTAAACTAGTTCGCCGCCATACTTGTCCCCCTCCTCTATGTCAAAGGAACCAAACATTAAGGATTTTCAAAGTCAGTTCACTAACAATCCCTTCATCCAAATTTGCTCGACACTTTTTTGCTTATTAAGGGTCAATTTGACCAATTTTAGAGCTAAATCAGATGACATTAGATTATCTTTTAAATTTATAATTTTAGATTGTTGGGAGTTGTGAACTCGTGATTACGTAAATAAAAGTGTGCTCTCTCTAACAGCTTAAGCTTTTAGATGAGATGATCACACAACTTTAATATGGTTTCAAAGCAAGCAAAGGTCCTGGATTCGAGTCCCACCACCCTTTAACAAAAAGAATTACCATGTGCTTGGCCCATGGGAAAGAGTAAAGCCCGCATGTGAAGGAGTGTGTTGAAGACATAATTACATAAATAAACTTGTGCTCTCTCTAACCGGTTAAGGTTTTAGATGAGATTGTCACACAACTTTAATATAGATAATCAAAAACTAAATAAGCGGCTGCATAAATTGCAAGTTTCCTCATATCAGCAGGGTAGGATACATCTTAAAATGTCTGTCAAAATTCACTTAGTTATGACTCTTTGCAGGCTAAAAGTGGAATATTTTAGTATAAGGAGAGTGATCAAGATTGTCTTTTCTTTGAATAGCCTGCATCAGCAAAATGTTAATTACTTACTGCAGACATTCATTAACCTTTTAGATAAGGTGCAGACATTCATTAACCTTTTGGATAAGGTGCAGACATTCATGCTTATTGAGTTATTTTGACCAGAGATCCCAATTTAAACATCATAAATAGCAATAATCTGCCAGCAGCAGATGAAGTACTGAAGTCCCAAAACATTGATTAATTGCTAAAAATATTCACAAGAGAACCTGAACTTAAAACATCACAAGTTAGCAGACAAATTTGCCACGAACAGTAGTAAAAGTATGCAACCACTAACAGAAAAAGCAGAGCTGAGAGTAGTCTTATAATCAAAATATATTACATGGGCTGAATTCCATAATAACAGGTGTCAGGCTATTGACAATTTCTCTTTTACATCCACAACTACAAACTACAAGACCTCCTAATTGAAAAAGCACACTGATGGAACGCGGACCCATCTAATCTACTTTATTTCTATCTCACAGAAAGCACAATTTACATGCGAGCATACCAGGTCAAACAAATGGGAATCTCTTCTGCCACTCAAGCTATAGTAAGTACCTCTTCAGTAACAACATATGCATACCTTAGTAGTTATCACACAATAAGGCTCTAAAACGTACTCACAATCTCTCCCAGCAAGCAGAATTAGTGATGCCAAGACATTAGCATAACAAAAGGCATACTGTAGATTTCTATCAGCAACAGATACCTGTTAGTGAGAGGAGAACCAAGACAACTTAGTATAACAAACACTCTGGAAACAGAAAAGCTACTCACTTCACTTTGTAATGCGTCAGTTGCCGTCTTGCGCTCAGCTGGATCAATTGCAAGTAATGTATCAATTAGCGGAAGTGAAGACTGAGGAAAATCTTTAAAAGTCTCCCTAATGCATCGTTTGTAGGGTTCTCGGGGCTTGAATAGTGTTGCATTCGGCAACTTAGACTTCTTCCAGTACTCCTCTGATGGCGAGCCACATAGTTTATATATCTTATGCAGTTGTTCTACCTTGGTGACATAAGATATTGTTGTTAATAACTCATGCAGGAAAATGGAAACAGATATGTGTTCATACACATTCCAAACAAGCTTAAATAAGAAGACATTTTAACGTGACAATTAGTATGTCTGTCACAAAAATTCTATATTGTGTAAATAGGACAGCCCGGTGCACTAAGTTCCCGCTATGCGCGGGGTCCGGGGAAGGGCCGGACCACAAGGGTCTATCGTACGCAGCCTTACCATACATTTCTGCAAGAAGTTGTTTCCACGGCTCGAACCCGTGATCTCATGGTCACATGGAGGCAACTTTACAAGTTACGCCAAGGCTCCCCTTCAAAAATTCTATATTGTGTAGCCTTAAAATATAAAAATAAATGCTAATTAGAACAATCCGCCAGACCCGGCACTCCTGATTCAAAATAATCCCTACAAGAGACAGTTTAGAACTATGGATGACAAAAACAACATCAATTTAAAGCTAAATGCAATTTTTCCGCAGTTTTCTTTCAATTTTAAAACGACTCAATGGGAAAATGTCATCTTTATAAATGATGTTAGGTTATTATGCAATAAGAGCAAGAAAAACCAATGTTTACCCTTAGCAATTGCTGTCGAGATGATATGCACTCAGCCTAATTACTAATGGGAGGGAACCCATAAACTCTTATCCAAATTGAGAGCATCGCTTCAAAGATAGTAAACAATCATAAAGACTCTTTTTTTTTCCATAAGCAAATAGATCATCCTAGTCGATTTCACTGAATTTTGTATGTTGATGCCATGAGCCTTGTAATAACAATGGATCACCCTAGTTCAAAATTTGGATTGCCCATTTTGGGATTAGCCTCCTCTACAAAATCTGACCATTCATATATGCAGCAACAGGAAATGCATACAAGTGCTCAGCAACAGAGAGAGAGAGAGAGAGAGAGAGAGAGAGAGAGAGAGAGAAATCAAGTTCAGCTATTGTCTTCGAAATATAACTATTTACTCCCAAACAAAAGGGGTAACAAAGCTCAAGAAACAACTGGACTGATTCCAAGATTTCTCTATAATCCTAGGGATCCTTTAGATTAGAGAGATGTCCTTAAATGAAAATGACCAGCGAAGGAGCTCGATTTAGTTAAACTCTATTTTCAATACAATATATCAAGTTGTTATTTAGAGTCACCTAGCTTAATTTTCACTCCTCGAGCTAAGTTCCAGAAAGGAAAAAATCAACAAAGCAAATATTTCTCTATCAGCCAGCGGAACACCTAAGCCATTAGGACTCTTTAAGTTAAAATTAATAAAGGAAACATATTACTACTCCCCCAAAGGAAAGGAAAAAAGGAAAGACAATACAGTCGATGCAGAAAAAAGCATCATATTAACACAAAGGATTAACAAGAAGAAGATTGAACAAAGAAATATATCAAGAAAAGAGGAAGTACCTCAGTTCGACCCGGCATAATAGGTTTTCCAGCCAATAACTCAGCTAAGATGCAACCTGCACTCCATAAATCAATGCCTACACTATAATCAGTAGCACCTAGAAGCAGCTCTGGTGGTCTATACCACAAAGTAACCACTCGACTAGTCATAGGATGCTTATGCCGAGGATCAAAAATAGTGGCCAATCCAAAATCAGCAATTCTGAGAATGCCAGAATTGTCAAGAAGAAGATTTGACCCCTTAATATCACGATGAAGCACATGACGATTGTGACAATGCTCAAGGCCAGATAATAGCTGATGCATGTAGCATTTAACCTGCAACGGGGGAACAATAATCAGCTAACTCTAACTACAACTGAGATAGAGATGGTCTAACTCACACCCCTCATTCTTCAAAGCAGAACTTCTACAGTGCAGCACCCTAACCTGTGCTTCTGTAAACTTGATCTCTGGACTTGCAGCAAGCCCAGCCAAATCATGCTCCATGTACTCAAATACCAGGTATAAACTACATGACATTCTTGAAGTAACCAAACCTTCCAATTTGATTACATTGGGATGANCCAACTAATTTCCACAAATCAGCTCAAAGTCTACAACTTTAACCACCTAAAATAGCAATACGAGAGTACATCATTAAATTGGCCAAACAAGGAAAAGGAGTAAATAATTAAATTGGCTAAAGAAAACAGAAAACAGTAAATCATTAAATTGGCACAGGAAAAAAAAAAAAAAAGGAAAATGAGCAAATCATTAAATTAGCAGTAGTTGAACTGCCTACTTAACATTACAAGAAGAATCCAAAGAAACAATTGCTCAATACCGGGCAAAGTTAGGTGAATTTTTCCGGGGTGTGGTCAATTGGACAGAATAATCACAGATTCAAGCATAATCACCAAATAATAGCAAAAACTCATAACAGTAAACTCAACAACTTATATGAATCAACGATCAGCAAAAACACAAAAACAACCCTTTTTACTTACTTGCACTGATCACACAATTTCAGATTCACAGTGAAACCCAAAAATCAATCTTTTTACCTAACCCAAAACAGAACCACGGTAGAGCAGCAAAAATACAGCTAATAAAACGATAAAACCCTAATATCCAAAATTGATGTAACTGCAACCCACGTCCACAAGCAAGAAAATGATCGAATCTGAGCCAAAAAGAAAGGAGAGAGAGAGAGAGAGAGAGTTATGTGGTGTCTGTAGTCTTCAACGTTTCTATGCTGTAAGACAAGAAAAGAGTATAATCATAAAAGAATCAATTGGACAACTAATCTTTCAGTATTATGGACTACAAATTATAAATATAGAAAGAGATGGAGTGGGAGGGGGGTTGGGTGGGTGGGTGAGAGCACTCTACGGTAAGTTATGTCATATAGTTTGACTTACACGAAATTTAGAATTAAAAAAATTAAACTTGTGCTCTTGAAAACTTAAATTATATAAGTTTTTGTGGGACTTTTAATTTATTTGTCTGACTGTAAAATGAGTAAAATAAAAAATTTGAAATTAAATTATTTTTAAATATAAAAATATTTTTTTAAAATATATTTATTAGGAGATTGTGTCATATAAATTGAAATAAATTAAGTGAATTATGTGAACCGTCTCATCTAAAAAACTTAGATATCATAGAGGAAACACTTCGATTTAATTAATTATGTATTAATAGCTAGTACATTGTTGCTAAGTTAGAATACCCCAAACAATATCATTTGAACACTTGGTTAAATAAGAATTTTGAACAAAGTCAAACGAGAGCGACAGGGGCGATTAGAGAACGAATGGAAGATAAGAGTGCGGGGCAAAGAGTAAAAAATGGGATGAGGAAAGGCAAAGCTATTAATCTACCTCTGAGGTAAAGGTGATATTTCACCTTCAAGATTTCGATTAATTAAATCTTCCGCCCCTACTTCTACTAAAGCTACCTCCTCCTTCATCGTCCTTTTTTATTTTTTAGCTAATACTTCCTCTTTATACACAAACTTTTTTTTTAGGGTGTGCTGTAATAAGAAAGATCTTGCTACGACCATACCGATTCTCTCAACGCTCTCTTTTTTTTTTCGCCAATTAATTATTTTGATTCTTTTAGTGTGGGCTAACACTTTCTTGTGATCCTTAGAATCAAATTAGTAGGCTTTAAGATGAATATTGAACTATTTGTGACTTTACTGAAAGTCAAAATAATGGACTGTGGGACAGGGAGAGAAGACTGAAGAGGAGGGTCTTTTTGGAATCACGGGCGAGATATTCTCCAACAAAATGGAATTCTTTTCTTTAGTACACAAAAAGTAGTCAAAATCATAATTAGATGAAATCATAATTCATAATTCCATTTGTTAAAAAGCCTAATTTCGCTTTTAAAAGAGATTGAATTTGCAACTGTACTGAAGTGGTGTAAGACACTTGCAATATCAGAAACGGTTTGACCCGCTGTAAATTGTAATATGTCATTTCTATTCTAAAAAGGCATTCATTATTCTATTAAAGAATACATAATGATATACTCGTAAAAAAAAAAATTATGATTAATAATATTAAATAAATTTGTTAGTGGGGATTGGGGAAGTGTGAAGTTGTAAATGAAAGTATTACGGTGATAGTTAGGCTATGTAGATAAATTTTATAACATCATTTTAATTTGATTAATTCAACTGTCTCTATGGATTATATTGAATTTTTATTTCATATTTATATACATGTAACTAACATCTAGATATCCAATTTTAAAACGGCTTATGATTCCTTATTATCTTCTTTTATTTTTTCTTTATAACTTGAATTGTCATTATATTTAGTTAAGAGATGAAACTTGTTTTGCCCAATGTTGGATTAAAACAAATTAAGAGAAATTTTACTTTGAGAATATCATTAGAATAAACATATTTTAAAACCAATAACGAACATGAAAATAGAGAAAGGTTACATTTTGAACAAAATTACAAAAGTTGAACTAAATCCGCGTATATTGAACCCCTTTTACGTATTTTTAATATATAATTATAATTTATGAATAATGATGTGTTTCCTGCTTCTAAATTTCTAAAATCATTAAAAATGACGAAATCTAATCTCTGAAATTGCATGGCAAATGAAGATGAAATAGAAACATATCACCATTTTCTTTCCCACGCTACCCACCCTCTTTCTACTTTATATAATAAGAGAAAGTTTTTGGTACGACGAAGGGCATTTCCGTAATTGCAGCTTGGGTAAAAGGCAAGTCTTACTATGTAATACGTGTCGTTGCTCATTTGGTATTTAATTTGAAGTGTCATTTCATGATTCCACTTTTATTCAGCTTTTATGTTTGCTCTATTTCTCTTTCTATGGTAGGTTCCTCTTCTTCTCTATTTCCTTCTTGTTTACTTTTATAGTTTTTAATTTTTTGGTTTCCTTTTATATTTTATGCTCTTCTCTCTTTCACTAGTTGTAGTAATTCTTTTTCTTCTTTTCTTTTTGCTCACTTTTTTGAATAGGGTGCTGTGTTTTTCAATCTTCACTTTCTTAGAGTTCATCCATTTTGTTTGGTGTGAGTTCTCTGTTTTCGGAATCGTTTTGTGTAATCTTTTCTTTCTTATTGCAATTTCTTTATTTGTAATCTGTGTGTATATTTGTAATCGTGTCTATATGCATGTTCGTTTCCTATTCTTTTTAATAATGTCTTGCTAGATTTGTACATGCATGTTAGTAACTGTTCCTGATTTATACGTGCATCATGTCATTTTGATGAATTTTGTCTTTGTTACCAACTACTAATTTGAAGTGGATTATGCAACTGAGGTGCTTGATAATATGTTTATCTGGACTTTCATTTTCTGTTAGAGCATTTACTTATGATTATGTGCGGCTTTTGACAATGGAACGAAATTACACTTTATTTGGTTTAGTTACTCGCATCCTTTGTTAACTTATAAAGTATTCCATGTTCGACATGAGAGACCATGAAGATATGCACTTGCTCCATATCATTCTGAATCAAGAAGTTAGAAGGTTGTCAACACAGGTACCTTAATCTTGTGATTGCAGGAATTTGTATTGTATTTGGTTTAGTTACTGGCACCATTAGTGTTATGTGTTCATACATAATTTAAAATGATGTTAATACAGTTGGGTAGCCAATTAAGCAAATGTAAAAATTGATACAATACAAAGACATGTACGTCTCTATTTTAAATCGTTAAAATTAACAAATTAAATTTGGTGGTATAAAGTTAGATGGATACATTTCACATGACAGAATAGAAGGTTAATATCAATGTGGTAGATTAAATGCTGAGATACTTCTGAACGTTAGATAGTTATGGTTATGTGTATCCATATTTGATTGAGTTCAGGACGAGTTATTACAAATACAAAGGCGGATAACTCATTATATGACTCGGTGTTTTCACAGCCTAAAGTTGCAATTCTTTTGTGCAACACAACACGACTATGGCAAATCATCAAGTTAAAGTATCCAGCCAATGATAAAGTCAGGAACAAAAAAAGATGGTAGTTTGTTGAAGCTCAAATTCAGGAGCTCAGGTATGTACTTTTATGGTATTTAAGACTAAAAAGATGGTGGCGTACTTACATTGGGCCTTATAGTTTGAAATTTAAGGGTTTCTTTTACCGGCCTGCATGATGAAAAACTTATTTTCAGGAATTTAAGGTATATAATTTTATGGCATTTATAGCTTAAAACACGGTACAAGACTTATACGGGGTCTTGTAATTTGAGATTTCATGTGTATATATTTTCTAGCATGCGTGATGAAAAAATATATATATCATTTGGTTTAGTATTAGGGCATAAGTTAACCATCTTCTACTTTAGTGCTTTGACCAATTCTTTAGCTAGTAATTAGGATTTTATTAGTCCTTTATTTTCTTAAACAAATTTCCTTATTCAAGGAGTTTGTTTAGCAAGTAGTTTAGTCCTCCTCTTCCAGGGGAGTTAATTTAGGAAATTGATTTTTCACTCTTGTATTTAAAGGTTGCTTTGATTCAATAAACATATAAGCTTTTTGTGCTTCTCTTGTTTTTATATGGTATCAAGAGCCTCAACAAACTCTAACGAGTAAGATACTATCATTTTTCTCTCCCACCCACCCTCCACAAATGGCCAACACTACTAGAGTTGTTAATGCTAATAACAATAGTGGTGCAATGGTCGTCCAATTTAATCTTGTGACATAATTGCCAATAAAATTACAAGGCAACCACAACTTTGCAACTTGGAAGGCGCAATTTTCCATGCTTATGCATGGTCGTGATTTTTATGGTCATCTAGATGGGTCTACTCCTGCTCCATCTCGCACTACCACAACTGGCACAATCCTTAGTGCCAATCTTGCATTCGCTCTTTGGTTTCGTCAAGACTAGAGTTTCATGAGATTTCTATTATAATTCATGCTCGTGACTCTACTATTAAATATGAAAAACTCTATGAGAATCTTCATGATCATGAGCTTTTCCTTAGACATGAAGAGTCAAAGAAAGCTCCTAGTCAGATTACCGTTGTTGTTGCTACATTCAACAAATCTGGAAACTCGAACAATTG